TATAAGTCATAAGCATTTAAATGCTTACAAAAAAAAAGAAAATTATAATAATTCGCTTTATATGTTAAGAACTCCTTACGCACTAATTAATCGTTAAAACGATGTTTTTCGGCAAACTTTAAATTTAGGCCAAAACTAAGAAAACTTATGCGGGAGTAAGGGAAACAATTTATAATAAGTTGTCTTAAGTCTTTAAAATATTTACTAACCTCATATGCTGAAGATAATTTGCCGGTATAGCAGCAACATCACTGCAACTGTTGTAGCGAATTGAAAAGTTGTTTTTCTGTTTTTAATGTTAACTTTACTTTTGCTTGCGAATAAAATAATGCTTGTCGTTAAAAACGTTAATAAACTGTACAAGAAAAACAAGAGAGGAAAATAAATATAAACTCGAAATCATAAAAATTTGAGAATTTAAACAAACCTCTGTCGATGTCTCTCAGTTGTAACTTTCGTACATTTTACGAATATTTAACAAAATTCTTATGAAAAATTAGCGAATTATCTCCAAAGGAAAATACTCACATAAATCGTTCAAGTAGGTTTTACGATATCCAGAGAAAGATTGAAAGTGTTCTGTTATTTAGTTAGCTTTTCTCGTACCCTCTTAACAACTTTGCGAATTACTTGCGTCGAACGGGAAAATATAAAACGTAGACAGACTATCGTTGCCAAATCTTCCGTGGGACTTGAACTAACAAGTATATATAGATGTATATATTAAAAAGACGGCAGATCATATTTTGGATGAAATGATGCTATGAGAGGAAATTCGCTCGTAAACTGTACCCAAGGCTATAGCATCCTTAACCACTTTATTTTCTACCATTCCTATTCTATTCTATTTTATTTACCCTAGTACAATATCATGCTTTTTCTTCGCTTTCTTGCCCAGCGCACACTGAGTTTTCGCTTCTAGTAAGCTTACTCTACGTTATTACTTACCTACACTACCTACTTGTACATACTTTCCCCTACATAGAGTTGCCAGGCACATATGCAAGATGCCATTATAGACTAAAGTTTCGCGGTACTCTTAAGAAACCCCTGAAAGAAACCCTAGTCATATTTTAATGGAGGATATATCTTCTCTTTCATCTATATTAGGCATTACTCTTTCTAATTAATAACTGTTGCAATCGGTCACTCATTGTGTATTTAAGGTGTCCGAAACACACATTCTTGTGCAAATAAAGTCAAACAAATCTATGTCATTTGGGTACGAATCCCATATGTAGAGAGAATTGGCAGCTGCCGTATCGAGTCTATCTTGAACAAAATATTTCTCCATGTTCTCTTGAAGCACAATCACTTGAAAGCGCATTCTTTCACACAAAGAACCGGTCAGCATTAATTTCTGCGATTAGCACATTACCCTTTAGAGATCCGGTTCAGGAGCAGAAAGTCCACAATCTATTGGTTTAAAAATCTTTAACTTACTGTCTAACGTTCAATTTAATTCGTATAATATTAATCTAAAGTTTGACTCAAATATCTACCTGTGCCAACCAGAGAAAATATGAGTGTGATTTGCCTCAGTATGGGCAAGCAATAGGCAAACATTTTAACTTGTACTTTATTGAACTAAAATCCGGTATATACACTTTCCACACATGTCTAAACACTGAGAAAAAAAAATTCCAATCATCCACAAATAACAAACTAATTTGAATTAAGCAGAGGTGAATTGGAAGCAAAGGTGATGAGTCACTAAAACATTGTCAATATAGGAGAAAGAGAAGAGAGTTTTCCTTAATTGATTTCTCTAGGATAAGATGAAAGTAATGCTTGATCCAATACAAACAGAAAGCAATTTTAGTTGTTTGCCAAGAACTCTGATCTGACAAGAAATAAGATAAGGCTTACAATTGCTCGTGTCTTCCATTAATAAGCATTTAACCATCAATTTCCATTTCAATCATCATATATTATATGATGTTGTCAAGCCCTAATGGGTTTCTTAGCGAGAGCAATGGCCGCCTTAAACAAAAGCTTCTTTTTAGAATGAGGATTTGTCCAGACATTTATTAAAGCAGACATGCGATTAAACCAATGTGAACTCATGTCACGCATATGTTTTTGATTGTTTAGAAAAATATTCAAAACATTTTTCTACTAAAACTATTATTCACTTGGTTTCTCCAGAATACTAAACAATAGTCGAGATCTGTTTTCCTCTTAGTTGAAAAAATAAATTTTGGCAAATTATTTATTTTAGTTTTATTTTTTATTTATTTTTTTTTTTTTTGCTTTTTCTTTTTTCTATTTTTTGTGTCAAGTTGTGCACATTAGGAGAAAATTCTATTGACAATAGAAACATTTGCCCGGTTGTCCTCACATAAATTGGCTCTTATTCGGAAGGCAAACAATATATAGAAAGTGTTTTCAGCTCCTTTCTATGCATATACACGTGCAACATAACAGCCAACAAAAAGAGGAATAAGAAAAAAACCGACAACAAGGTCGAAAAATATGAATTCATCGTCAACACAACACATGTCCGACATGACGCAAATGTTATTGACATACACACGTATACATACATTCCTATGTTATGTATTTTAATAATGAGCATCATACATAACAAAGGACAGACTATTGGACGACAATCTGAATAAATGACATATTCACTTACTCATGCACAGGCGCACAAACACACACACACACACACACACAGACACACAGACATAAATATATATAAATATATATCTATTGTATATGATGAGCTATACAACAAAACCATAAACAAAAGCACATAAAAATCTGCAGCAGTAGCTAGTTAAAGTCATGAATTCACATGTATATACATGTATGTATAAGTGAGTGTGCTTGTATGCGAGGATATACCACTATAACTGTAGAGAATTCAAGTTAAAAAGATGTTACTCTCCTTGTTGTAGGTTATTATTCCGGGTACGTAAGTCACGGCTTGTATATACATATTGCCGTATATGTTGTGCATCTGTGCTATTGCCTGGGTTGGTGTTCCCTATTATTAATAGCTTGTCCTTAGAGCATATGAGAAGAACGCTTATTTCTTAATGGCTACATCAACAATGACAACAAGCAAGCACTGTGATATAAAACGCTAACAATAACAACAAGTCTTAAAATGAAAATGAATGTAATGTAAACAACAGAAAAGCAGAAGAGCACAACTGATATAAATTTCCCGTTATATTGTAATGTCATGTTTTCTTCTGTTTCGTAACGAAAGAAATTAATACAGCTCAAGTAAATTGCACGCAAATACATTCATATCCAACCGCTCAGTCGTTTATCTCTTCTTCTATTATATACAGTACAGTACTTGCGATAACATGTGGATTGGTCTCTTAACGCAACAACAACAACAACAACAACAACAACAATTTACATAAAGAAAGAAAATCATTACTTTGCCAAGGAGAAAAGAAAAATTAGTATAAAGTCTTTATTTTTATGTAGATTCGGGTCAAGATAACTACACGGCCGAATATGGCGTATTGTTTCCATTTGCTCCAAAAGGAGCCCATGAAAAGCTATAAGGCGAAAACGAAGACGAGACGAAATTAAAAAGAATTTCAAAGCTCAACGAAGTATTTACAATGGTGGGCAATAACGCGATAGATCTATCTTAAAATTTGCGGTGTGCTGTACGGTGTGCAAAATTTCCAAAGTTTGGACTAGAAACTTATGAGATTCTGTATAGAGCTTCGTAGAGTTGTAATTAGTTTCTTATCCGGAAGCAAATCGATCCCATATTTTTGTTCACGACGGAATGAATTTTCGTGTCGTTGATTTCTACAGCTTTTTACTTTTTACTTATAGTGACGAAATAAAGCTATTGGGAAGGTCCTCATCTGCGATGGTAATATTTAAGAGAGCCAAACGGTTTTTATTGATTCGAAGGAGTTGAAGTAAAGGTTCTGGCAACCTGAACAGCCCATAATTTCCATGTTTCCTGCGTGTTTGGGTTGTGACAAAAATTGAGTATCAACGATAAATATGATAATACGATATGTGAAATAAGTTAGAAAGTGATAGTGGAGCTTAATAATTTATTCTCGCCACACATTCAATCCATAGTGAGCCAAAAATGTTTTCTGGCTGACTAAGATGTTCATCGTCACCACCATTTTTTAAATAATTTCTCGATAGATTGCTGCAAAAACGTCGCGAACGCCTTCGTGTTAGAAACGAACAAATTAAAAAATCAGAAGACCTAGAATTCGTCATAAAATTTTATAATGAGTTAGTGCATTTTTTGAAGGTGTGCAAAATCTATATTGTTCTTAAGCATGCAACGAACGAAAAATTAATCCAAGTTTAAGCAAAAGTCCTTGGTAATGGTTAATGGTTTCATCTCTGAGTGTAAAACGGACCATAAGTCAAAATATCTACAGCTAGTATAACCACATCTAAGGAAAGCAAAGGCAGGCTAACACAATTCTTTGCGTGCTGTTTGGAAGAGTATGACACTGCCTTGTGGGGATAAACACAAATGTAGGCACAAGTGACCACATCGTGTCAAAATTCAATGAACGGCACCATGTGGATAAATCGACTCGAGATGAACTCAAAAATTGAGACATATACAATCAGACGTCTAATACGTAAGTTGTTATCCGCCTTTCCTGCAACAACACCTAAGCGTGTGTTAGGAAAGAACACAGAAAAATTCATACCTTCCTGAAGACTTACCTGCGACGTGATTATTACCAAAAGTCAGACTCGAGAGACGTCTTCTTCATATGAAAAAGGCCTGTGCTTACGAAGACGAAGATCTCTTTTTCTCTCTCTCTCTCTCTCTCTCCATCTTTGCCTCTCTCTCTACTTTCCCTTTCTTAATACACCATAATAACGCTTTGCACAAACGTATATATAAAGTTTTTATAAAGCGAATCTAACATAGCATTGATACCAATCATAGAGTAACAGAAGCAATTATTACAGATATAGAAATGAATTTCTATCCTAAATGTGTTTTATGATATTTTTCTTTTGCTCTTTTACAGACTAGACTTTCGACCAAGTCGTGGTATTTATGACTTGCAAATTAAAAACACGTCATACAATCGAGACAATGGACGATTTGAGTGTCGCATCAAAGCAAAAGGCACAGGTGCTGATGTACACCAGGAGTTTTACAATTTGACAGTTTTGACGCCACCCCATCCGCCAATAATATCACCGGGCAATATTGCCATTGCCACTGAAGATAAGCCGCTTGAGATGACATGTAGCAGCATTGGCGGCTCGCCAGATCCCATAATAACGTAAGTATTCCTTTTTCGACACAATTTCTTGTGTGTGTACGAAAAAAATGGAGGAAATTGTAAAAGGGTAAGCAATCTCTCTTACAAAGAATCATTCTATGCCATAAAACCAAATGCCATAAATACGAAAACAGGAAAGGAGAGAATTCTTCTTATATATATTGTAGTAGTTCAATAAATTGGGCAAGCACTTTAGGTTTTTTGCAAAAATTATGCAGTAAACAAAAGTACAACTAAAGCCTTCTCCTAAGTTAAGTCAAAATCTCATCCTGCTTTAGTATATGAATCCCTGGCAAATTCAACGTAGCAAACTTAATACACAATTATTTTGTAAGGGCGTATTATTCGTATTAATCGAAAATATTCAAAAATACATGAAAATAAATATGTATGTATACGGATGGGGGACGTTGCAAATTACTATTGCACCACTTGATGAGCTCGTACAGTGCACTACTTAAGTGCAAATAAAAAATACAAGGGGAGAGGATGAGTTTCTTTTATATTTGATTTTTGTATATTTCGATGAAGAGGAAAAGCAATAACAGATAACAACAAATGTGTGTAATTGTACTTCTATGTGCATTTACCAGAATCATTGCAATAAAGATTTAATTGAATATTTACTTACATATTAACTTAAACATTAGGTGATCAAAAAATATTCTCTTGTTTTTCGAACAAAAGATGAAAAAGCTTTACTACTATGACACGAAATTTATTGTACCCTTCTTCCTATCGCTTGTTGTCTTACCGCCCCGGTGGCAATAGATCTAGATCTAGATATCCAAATCTCTTTGTCGGCTATCGGGTTGACCAACCTAGCATCTTATTCGGCACCATACAAAACATCCGTACGTATCTAGTCATCTAGTTACACATAGTAGCTGTTCTCGAAACACTTTTCAATGTTATGAGGCCGCTTACTAGAAAGCTCCTTCTGAGAGTCTCAAATAAGCGACAAGTTTTTACTTTCTTGACCTATCACAAAATTCTACAAAATCTACTGATCCTTATCAGTTACTCGTACATAGTTAGCGACAATATATTGAAATTTTCAATTTCTTGCGAAATTATTTCAAGTTTTTTTGCTATTAAAAGTTACCTTAAAGAAGAACCGTTGAGGTCTGGTGGCATATACGCTCCATCTTAGGGCATACGAAAAGCAGTTTATGAAAGCAATTGTCAGAAGACTAATGCAATTCTTCTCCATTAAGCGGGAACAAAAACTCATTTGTCACGATGACTCATCGTACAGCCTTCAATAAGTTCTTAGGTAACTGATAATTTAAAATTTCACGACATTTCGACACTTTTCGATTCGATGTTGCTACTATCTAAATATTATATGGATTGGTGAATAAAGGCAACAATGATATATCTTCACACGATATGTGTTATAAGGTGGACAAGTATACAGAGGCTACCCACCTAAGTCGGAGGTTCTTTATGACTCGACTTAATGCAAGAAAAATTTGGACATCTTAGGAATTTGTTTTTAATCGAAAAAGGTCTTATTTTGAGAGAAAGGTAATGGTATTGGACCCACTGCCTGCCAGCACCTGTACATGTTTTCTACTTTACGAGTTAAGGAGTTTTGTGACACTATCCACAAACTGGTGAACAGAGTGCTAAATATCTGGCGCATGCAGTGAGTGTGGTAAAACGCTTCAACCCATTGTTGCCAACGGTTCCTCGACGTCGGCGGGCATTTTCAGTGCTAAAAACATTAATTGTCTTTTTATAATTCTCGACGCGATATTTTCATTGCGTGATTATTATTATTGTCAATAGAAGTCTTTCACTCGTTTATACTAAGCCACCCATTTCTGGCTTCACGAAAGAGAGGCTTTTGCCTTTTTCCGCAAGCAAGGCGGATTTGTTCTGTTAAGCTTAAGATTTTACTAAAAAAAAATCAAACTTTTCCGCCATAACAATTGGTGAACTAGATCCGATCTTTCGGATGGAAAAAGAAACGGCGAAAATTTAGATATAATAGAACACCAAGATATGTCCAAGTTTCCCGAAATCTCTCCAATGTAAAGTTAAGTATAACACACAGTAAAAGTGTAGTGAATGTAACTTTAAAACTTATAGCTTAGGTTTAGCATTACATTTACATCCGTAAAGGAAAGCAGTGTTAAATTATAAGTAAGATTTTCAATATTACTTTATACTCTACGTACTTGTAATTATTTTTTAATCTTTTGGGTTTTTTTATGGTTGAGTTATGGATGTGATATCCCCCCCCTTTGTTTTTCTTGCTAAACATTTCTTCTGAAAATTCATTTTGCTTTCAGATGGTATCGTGAAGGGAGCACCGTGCCACTGCAATCGTATATATTGAAAGGCGGTTCGAAAAATCATTATACAAATGCTACTCTGCAGATACTGCCGAGACGAATTGATGATGGCGCCAAATACAAATGTGTCGTTTGGAATCGTGCCATGACTGAGGGTCAGAATCTAGAAACAATGGTTGCACTGAATGTGAACTGTAAGTACAAAACAAAATTAATTGCTATTCTATTGTAAGGGTTGTTGCAGTAAAGATTAGTTCGCAACGTAATACTCAAATACAGACGTACGTATACAGACATCCCTACCACATCAGGATTGAAACATAAGTTGCAAGTGAAAAGATATGCACTAAAGTAAATTTGTACGTACAGCATAAATTTGTTAAACACGAAACCAGTTACTAGTTAACTTTATTTTGCTCTTATTTTTATATAAGTGAATTTTGAAGAGCAGTAATGGAATATCACGCAGTCGGTTGCATATATTCAAAAGCAATTTATGGCCATTCTATAATAGCAAAAATTGTGACAGGCATTGCTTGACCCATGCCTATGCACACTTTACCCCCCCTATTAAGTTAACCAACTATACGAGATTTCACAGAGATTAAGTGCAAAGCAAAATCAAACAGCATTTTGGCTTCCAATATTTCCTTTTTGGTATAAAAATACTGTTTAATAGTAGCTCAGATTAGACTTTATAGTTAACACATAGAAACCGTAGCATATATACATTAAATTATCTCTCTTTTGAATTCCTTACTCAGCTCGAAGATATACAGATCTAAGTGTGCAATAAATTTCAACAGCTTTATGTATGCATAGTTCAAACCCCACAAGCCCCCAGCGTAATAGCAGAAAGTGAGTTATCTTTCACTACTACGAGTTGTTTCTGTTATGTTATCATTAAAGTAATACAAAATTAGTTGAAGTTTGTTTACGAGTTTATATTGATTCCCAAAGTTAAAATTAATTGCGATAAAATAACCAAGTGCGTTTTATCCTCAAGATGAAGGCCATTGGGCTGCCATCCTCTCCAGGCGGACCTCAAGGACTGCTTGATATAAATCCATAACGGTTAAGGATTTATTATATAATGCATTTCCTAGGTGTATTAATAAGTCATTACCGCTCTTTGCTTATGTTTGTAAGGCTTTGATGTCTAAACGCTCCGAGTATTTTTTTTTTTGTTTTTTTTGTTTTAGCAAATAAATTATAGTTTCCTGATGGCAGTAGCCGTTCCCTTTCTTTTTATTATTACGAATACGTTGCATAGCAACAGCCCAAAATTTATTTAGTGATGGATTAATAATCTTGTTACATACTATAATACAATTATACGAATCTTACTTAAAATTCAATAAATTAAAGTAAAGTAAAGTGTATAGAATAAGAAGAATACATATAAAGAAATTTGAAGAAAAGGAATAGAAATAATAAAATAACAAAGAATAACGAAAATTAATTAATTAAAATACAATACATTGGATAAATCGAATGAAAAACTCAAATAAACCAAAACAATAAAACAAAAGCAGAATAAAAAAACCAAAGATCAAAAAACAATTATAAAGAAATAAATATATAAATTAAAAACAATATATAAAATATTAAAAAGGAAAGCCATTACCGAACATCTCCGGGCATGTGACGTTACGTTTATAACTTTTATTATATACCTTTAAAAAGTTAAAAAAACTTTTATAGCCCATCAGTTATACAAATAAACCATTAGTAGAGTACAACGCAAAAAAAAAAATATATATATATATATATATATAATTTCTCTTAAACACACACAAACATTCTGCAAGTAACTCTGAAGACCGTAAATATTCCTTAACTGATCTAAAACACTCTAGCTTTACGAGGCATGTAAATATGAAGTCGGAACTTTTGGACAGAAAATACAGGTTTATTGTATGAAAATAATAGAAAATATTGTATTGGAAGGATTGCTCATCGCCAGTTATGCACACTTTTTCACCTACGGATGACACGTCAAAAAAACTGTTCTCTTTCAAAGCAAGCTAGTCGTCAAGCCATTTTCGTATGTTTTCGTGAGAAGGGAAGCGCCAGCCAGCAAGTACGTGTGCCGTGGATGCAAACAAGTAATCATCGGAACTTGATTCGAGTTTGGCAAATAAGCCGCAGGGATTAGCACTTCCAAGTTAAGAGCGTCCGATTTGTTATAAATCTGTTTTGCCCAATGGATGGACGGACATATCTCTTGTAAAAAAGTGGCCTTGTATTACTTTTTTTTGCTATTCAAGTCATTTCTTAAGCACCAAACACTTCAAATCGAGTAGTTTATGGTTAGTGGCCTTTGGTATTAAGATTTTAACAGACGCCTTTGGTCCCGCCCAGCACAGAGAATCGGTTCTTTCCTATAGCAATTAAGTCTCGCAGTCGATGTGGATGTTACGCCCGGAATTGTCCAAATAAATCCATTTGAGCGTCAGTGACCGTATAATGCAAAAACGAGCCCTTTCTGCATCGTTTGGGGAAGGAAAAAATGCTGTCGGTGAAAGATTTTTATTTCGCACAAAACATGGCAACTTCGTTATTAGGAAAAGTAATTTTGCATTACAATATTTCTTGATATTGTCCAGATGTCCAAGCTGTAAAAAAACAGAACTTAAGGCAGATATACCCTCGACGTTTAGCACTACCCGTCTATGGACAAAGCTCCGTTTCAATCCTCTTGAGAATAATATCAACTAAGAGATATTCTTAAAATTAATTTTCCGAAAAAGATATGGAAGATTCGAGAAAGATATAGAAACTTCGATTCAATAGATATTTAATTCTGCTTGCAAAAGAACATCAAATAGAAGAAGTAAGAAAATTATATTTGGTCGTGTTCGAATTTTTTATATACATCACGGTGATCCTAACAAAAGAAGAAGAACTAAAATTTGATCCTGTATAGGAAATTTATATCGTAAAGGTGTATGTACTTTGTGGGTAGCAAGCAAAAAACACGGTAGGTAACAGTGTTTACAGTTTTTGTTATGTACGTATGTGGGCGTTGTAGGCGTGTTTTCGAACACTTTTACAAACTTGCAGGGGGTATCTTTATTTTCGCGGCCGGCAGAATGTTTACAACAAACATTACACAGGTAGGCAAATAGACAGACGGGCTTATATCGATTCAAAGTTTGATGCTGATTAGAAAATGCATATATTTTGTGGGATCTCTGAAGCGTCCTTGTGGACGTTGCAAACGTTTTGACAAAATTAATGTACCCCTCACGAATAGCTTGTCGACGCTCTTATGCAATATTTGACGAAATGTGTTTAACATGAACGTCTTTTCCATACGACTAACGGTATTACGGGAAGAAAATATACACATAAGCACGTACACTTGCCTTCTTTTTTTTTTTTGATTTTTAAATACTATAAAAAATTTAAACAAACCGGCCAAATATGAGCTTCATAAACTATAGAACATATGCATTGCATCGCAGTGTATTTTATGTTGTGTTTCGTTTCGATTTTTAGTTATTGATAACGTGCACGCATGCATATATAAGCGTGCACTTAACTGTATTCTGATACAAAAAGTGCTCATCTTTCTATTGAATGTATCTTCAATTCGATAGAATGAATAAAATCGAATCGAAAGATAGGAGTGAAGCAAACATTTTTTAATGTTTTTTCATAAGCTAACTGAAGATGTTCTATTTTATAGTCAACGTACAAGAATATGAGCATTTCATATATATATATGTGTGTGTAGGTGTACATTTTATGAATGTATATAATATATATGTGTGCATATCTTTATAACTTTAAATCGAAGTGGATCAGCATTGTGCGATAATGGTAAAATATGATGAGTGCTCTGATAAGAGCTAATAAAGTTACTTAGGTGCTGTGCAATGGATGGGGATAATCGAAAACTTTTCCATATGCCTATCTACCAATAAAGAATACTATGCTAATGTTGCCATTCGGTTTGTAACACACAATAGTTTCAGATAAATATGAAAAATGCATTTTGATAAAATTACATTTTGTACACAACATTCTACACTAACCTATTCTACGTATTCATCCATGCGTGTAACTTTTCACATGGTTATTAAATCCGTCAAAATTGAATTGAAATTTGATACATAAACTGTTCAATAACTTCAAACTGATAAATGAATGAGTCACTAAATAGCGCAAAAAATATAAAAATAATGGTTGTTTTAGTTCAAGATTCTTTGATAAAAGATTGAAAAGATTGTATGAATGAATTGCTATATGAACAACAGCTATGTAAGACCCTTGATTCTCAGATCCGTATATATTTGAAATACCAAAAGCCCAGTATTCTCTCCAAGACTAATAACATTCTGCCATCAGCTTTCCATTTTGAAAAATTTACTTGATTCGTTAATGATAGTTTACACCGAACAATAGTTTCAATTATCATATTCGCTCAAAAATTGTATTCTATTTCAATTTCGTTTTGTATTAGAGATTGAAAGAAAAAAAATTGATAAAATGACTTATTTTTTAAACAATAGAACAAAAAGTTACAAGCTACGATACCAGCCTATAAAGGAGATTCATAGGCCAGGAAGAAAGGTTAGACTATTGAAATGTTTACCTTGAAAATTCAAGAAATCAACAAAGGCATCACCGAGAGGATGTATTTAGCTTTGCTACCACGCTCTTCTGTTAAATATACATTTTCTGTAAATAACTTAAAAAAAAAAAAAATTCTTCGGAAAAAAAAAGATTTTTATTTCTGTAAACCCAACACTGACTTTGAAGGAAGAAATTTTTTCCTTAAATTGTCAAGTTCTTCCCCAGCCTCCTCAACAGTCTCCTCAACCTCTTGCTAAGCCCCTGCTTGAAAATTGCAATCCAACGTCTTATCCGTTAATTTCCAAGTCTCTTCAGTATGGTAACAGCTGTGTTGCGGTTGTGTTTGCGTTTCATTAAAATCATTTATAAAAAAAAAAAAAAAAAAAAAAATACATCACTGTATAGCTTAAGTTGAAGAAACTAAAACTTTGTCAGGATGATTTTGCTATTAGTAATGAATTCATCTATAGAATTTTTTCATTTTCTTGCGATTTCCATCATCATTTCGTTCACAAGTAAAGTATAAAACGTGCGGTTCTGTCTTTGGCAGGTAAAGCCAAAGTTGCACCTTCCAGCAGAAATCAAAAGAGAATGATGAAGAAAGAGCATT